TATTTCTCTGCATTTCGGCAGATTTGTGCCTGGCCAGTGCTCCTGTGTGTCACTTGTGGCATATGTAAAAAGTTCAGCGTAGCATCCTTCAGCAGGGCTCCAGTTGTCAGCCTTCTGGGGTGTTCTTGGCTCAGGCCTGAACAGGCTAAGACACGACAGGTATTCTACCCTGTCATAAAATAATTTTAATAATGTATCAGTGGTATCACAAAACTGCTAGGTATTGGCTTCAGCTGGTCGGGCTGTGTTAATAAAACATTAATTAAGGTATCTGGAAACCACAGCTTGAAGGCTGGGGGAGTTTTAGGCCTCCCAAAATACAAGCACAAAACAAGTGGAAACCTTGAAAATTGAAGTGTGAGAGAGTTGCAGAGGCCTTGGCTATAGATGCAAGCCACTCGTGATTAAATATAAGTTATTACAGAAATGAAGCCTTGGAATTAGATAAATCCATTTTGGGGTATATCAGAGAGAACAAAGAACAAGTCTACAATGTATTTAAAACATATCACATGTCGTGAAGTGAGATATAGCATGGGATTGTGAACCAGTATAGAAATACCAACTGATCAGATTGTTAGCAATTGCATAAAAATGACTCCAAGAAGGCCTAAAGTGAGAAGGAAGAAATGCCCAGCACCAATGTTATCCTTCTCTTGGCAAAGAGGAAGAAGAAACCATGAACAACAACGCTGCAGTCATGACAAAAACAACTCCCTGTAGCCAACCCTCACTTTTTATAAAGAAGGTCCATGTCACTGACTTTTGGACCAGAGGGTCAGTGGAAGGTGAGCCTGGTACCAGAGAAAGGGACACGAGGAAGTTTATGGTAGTGATTTTAATTATGTTCTTATTGCATGAGCCGCAATAATTGGCTAATTTGGACTATAAGAGTTAGCGTTGTTGTAACTGCCATAGTAACTTTTTGATTTGCGAAGACTTTAATTCCTGGCTTTGTGTGTGTGGTGTGTTTCTTTCACCCACTTATGTTGCACAGGATGTTTAGTCTGGACCCCAACCTGGGGGACGGGCTGTTAAAGTTTAGATATAACATCTGGTAGACAATGTGGGCAATAAAAAGGGTGTGATTTGTAATCACAGCCCAGCAGCACAGAAACAGCATCAGAAAGTACTCAGCGCTCAGGATAGTCTTGCTAGTCATGTGCAAACACATAAATTTGGTTATGTGAGCTGGAAGCACTTCATTTTGTAAGACTGGGCCTAAAACCATTCTTTAGTACATAGATTATATGACTGAAATTGGATTATCAGCCTACAGTTGCTCCTGACATAATAGTTCTTTGTTTAAAAACAAGATGTTCAGAATTGTGGTTAATATCCTGTGAATTTCCTAAATAAGAGTGTTCAAATTTCTAGTAGAAATGAGCTCTTAGAATTGGTGTTTAAACATTTTTTTTTCTTTCTCAAGATCCACAATGTGAACAATAGTTCATGCCAGAGGCGTTAAATGATAGCAACCAGCAGAGATGCCTGCAACGATCGGTGTGCACTGGAAACCTGCTAAGTACGAGCTTCTCCATTTGCAGCTGCTGTGAGTATGAGTTAGTCTCAGTCTGCAGTAGCTCTGTGCTGTCGACCAATTCCCAAGGGATCCATGCATGAATATTAATGACAGAGGGGAAAAATAACATGGTGTTCTATTTCCAGCTTTCTTAAGCAGTGGCCACTCGTAGTTGAAATGCTGGTGCACAGGGCGGTTTGGCTTCTCTCGCTCTCTTTGCTCACCCCTGAAAATGGGCCTTTTGTCCAAGACATGCAAAGCAAGTTTGTGGTGTGCTCATGTCAAGATGCAGGTTGGTTTTGCCTCTGGTGGAACAGATGCCCTCACATTTCAGGAAGGTTTGCATAGCTCACGCGGTGCCGAGTTGTCTGAGGAGGAACTGTATCCTCTCTTCCCAGCGTATGCAGGCAGCTGCCAGAAGCCATTTTGTAGATACAACATTATAGACTGGGGATGGAGTTGCAGGTGAGTGTATGGAGGAGGGCTGAAGCTTGGAAAAAAGGGTTATTTCTTTGGGGGCTAGAGTTATGGTCCACACCTAATTTACCAGCCAACTTTATTCAGGCAGCTTCAACAGATCAGGCAGGATAAATTAGTTACCCAATTAGCACTTGCTGTTTCAGACCATTGTGTCCATGCTGCTCCTTGAGAAAATGTCTTCTCTTCAAGTGGATGTGTAATGCCTCTGCCCTCCCTTTTGATTCGGGGAAGACCTTTTAAGTAGGCAAACTACCCAGTTGTTCTCTGGTGGTGTTTGTTTCCAGTGCAATGTAGAACAGCAATATGATAGATAGGGTCTTGTTGCAGGAAATGCTTGTTGGCACAATTTGAGCAACACAGATTTGCAGGACATACGTGCTGCATGTGACAGTTACATGAGACTCACTGGTTTCTGGATTTTGTAATGCACAAGCGTAAATTTAGTGCCTTGATTTTCTACTTTTTTTTTTTTCCCTGCAGTCTCCTAGAATGTTTCCATTACAGATGTGAACCCCATCTGAATGGAGAAGTTCTGTGGAATGGGGATGCTGTGGAGTTAGTAGCATTTAAATATATGGGTAAGAGAAACAGGAGACCCTAACAGTAGTTGGTGTCATGTCAATCCTTGCTGAATCATGCTGTTGACAGTAAACTGCTATTAAATTATGTGTAACTGGTGAAACTTATATTAAAATGTTTTATGTACAAAGAGATACTTCTGATTGCAGGTGTTTTGAGTTTGTCGTGTAGCTATATAAAACAAAATAGTGTTAATCCAAATGCTTTTAACTAAACCCAATATTTTTGGAATTGTTTTGAGGAAATACACTAGTGATATTTAATATATAGAAACAATAGTAATATTCTGTCACTGTGTGGTTGTTTCAAAGTATCTGAAAATCTCCAAGAACCTAACAGATATTTCAAATGAGAAATTAGTGCTGAGTTATAACTGGGGATTTTATTTTTCTTAGGCAAAAGGAAGGGAGAACAGCTCAACAGGGAGAACAGAATGGCTCTTTCATATTAGTTGAAACCAAGAACTGTTCTCTAAAGAGCTTACAAGCTTCAAATAGAGTAATTACTGAGAGGAGCAGCTGTGAAAAATTTTAGAGGAATTATTTTCATAATTCAGAGTCCCTTCACACAATCTCCCTCTACGTTTTACTGCCAAAACCAATACTGCACTGTGATCTTTCTGCATACTACCAGATGATTAAGTGCAGGCACACTTTTTTATTTTTAGTTTTAAATTGGATTTGATGTCAGTTCAAAGTGAGCTGTCTCTCTCATTGCACACTATTTTGCTCCCAGTATCTAGCAGAATACTCTAAATTTGCCTGTCACGGTTTAAAGCTGGTTTGTTTGACGTTTTCTTTCTAGGAAAAGCAAAAAAGCTACTTCTGTTTTTCTTGATCTATAATTGATAGAGTATTTAGAAAGCTTCATACATCCAGTCTGTATTTTTCTGTCTTTGTATGTTACCTTTTTAGGAAACCTACTTATTGAGACACCCTACTTACTTGAGACATGATATAAACTTGAGGCATGGGGGACCAATCCTCAGGTCTGTAATCTCAGCCCTGTGATGGGACATTAGCAACAATTAGTGGTTAAACACTGGGTGAGTCCAATGGCTATGCAGCAGAATATCTCACTAGTCACAGCCTCTCCTATACTTATCTGAATGGAAGTTCTACTGCAGAGGTTTCAGTTTGCACCAGGCCCACCAGCTCTTGTGCTTGGCCTAAAGCACATTCCAAGGAAAAGCTCAGATCTCAAGTTACACTTGGGCAGGATCTTGCCGAACTCAGACTCCAGCTGAAACCTTCTTTCCTTTTCCACATTGCCGTAAATATTCTTAATGTGAAGTGACTCGTCAGCGTGCCCCTCAGCCTTTTTTTTTTTTTTTTTTCCCGTGCTTCCCAGACGTGTTTTGAACCAGCAGCAGGAAGGAATTTTCCTGTCTGCCTTCCTGCCATTTGAGCTGTTGAATTTCCCCTCATGAGCTGGCACTCCTGTCCCCAGGTAACTAACTACATGATCCTTGGTCCTCATTTCAGGTCTAACCTGTGGCATTCCTAAAAGCTGCATTTTCAAAGAGAGAACGCTCTGTGGCTGACCTGTATTTTTAAGTCTGGGAAGGATAATCCTCCCTCTAGGACAGTTTTCTCCAGCAGCTTCAGGCATGTCCGTGCTTATCCAGCTCGTCAGACTGTATTAGTCATTGCTGTGTTTCAAGGTGACTGGAGAAGAGGCAATCGGATAGTGATCAGCATCCCCAGGATATTTCCAGGGAAGCTGGTTTAGGGTTTGAACAAACCAGGAGATGAATAAGACTTCTTTTTTGTTGCTACTGCTGTTAGTTTATAAATAAATACATGTGTATGCTTTGAAAACAAGCAAAATGTTAAGAATAACTTTTCTGTGCTTCTTGAATAAAGGGTATTCCTGGGGCTCACGGTGCTTAGGGAAGGCCACCAGGAAACTGATGCCCTAAACTTTAGTGTCTGTTTTTCAAAAACATTGCATTATTTATGTTTTTGCGTTCAGGCTTTGATGCTAAAGAGTCAATCCGTTTTCTTCCTTGTTCTTTTTTTCCTCCCTGCCACCACCCCAGCGTAGCAGAGAACAAACCCCAGAGTTGCCCGTTCGCCTTCACCCGTGTGCGTGAGACCCGAGTAAGTAAAACCCAAAAACCAGGCAGGGGGGCGGCTCTCAGTCTGGATCCCCCGGGGACACCCAGCTCCTACGTGGCGTTCGCCAGCTCCCGGGGCTTCCAAAAGTGGCGGGCACTGAAGCGGGGCGTTTAGGGGTTATATCCCGGGATATAATGCAGGTATCCCGGGATATAACTTATAAAGTGGGCTAGGATGGGTGAATAATTCCGCCCTTGCAGTGCGCGTTGGCGCGGGGCCGAGCGCGCTGCCGGTGGGGCCGCCCCTTCCCGGCGCCTCATCC